GACACTCAAGCAGGCAAATTCTCATTGTGTTTATTTCTGTTACTTATTTCTGCACTATTTGAGGCAGCCTAGAGATTCCTGGTAAGGACAGACACTGAAATAATTCTCATTTCTATTAGTGTGCCATAATTAGCTAGAAGGGTCTGCTTTACTAAGGGCCTCTTTAAACCTTGTCCATCTCGTTTCAAGCAAATGTCTCCTTCGGAATAGCTGTTTCTTGCTCATTACAATATTCAGTTATACGTAAAAAAAGTGGCACAAGTTGCATTGCCTATATGTCATAATGACAATCAGCTGTGATACCTGGTCTGACCTAAGAAAATCACTAAGCAAGGGACTGCCAAGCACTCTTTTCTCTTCTAAGAACAGCCATCAAGCTCTTTAAATAGCTTAAGAAGAGCTGCAATAGGGATTTTGATTCCAACATATAAAGCAATGATACGGTCAGGGCAGAAGCCACTCACATTTCTTAACAGGAGTTTCACTATCACTTACAGCCAGCGTGTGCTACTTTCTTGAGTACAGAGTTGCAGGCCTGAAGATGCATTGCTGCTTGTTTTAAGTGTACTTGGGATTTTGCATGTGTGTTTAGAAACAAATCTAGCCAGACCAAGTATCCATCTGATTCCTCATCAAAACAGATATATGCTATACGGCCACAACAACTGAAGGCAAGCATATGTAAAATATACCAAATGTTCACAGGGCAATCAGTCTACAGAATTCACAGCAGACTAAAAGTGAAACATAATTATTAAAAAGTTACTAATTACTGCAAACTAAACCTGTTAACAAGCTGAACACACCAAGGGGCTGCAGGGACACATACTCAACACACCTTAAACTATCTTGTGAGGTGCTGAGACAGTAACAATTCCTTATACCTGGCAATTTTGTTGTAGCTGCTGATGGTTTCACCTACAGTCCCACAGTTAAATTACCTGCTGGTTTTTGGACATCTCTGTAATACTTTTCCTGTACCACTTGTTGGTTCCAGGTTCCAACCCCTCTCGTGCATGCTGGTTTCCTCTCTTCGAAGAGGACAAGTTGCTGCTGGCCTGAACCTCTGGATTTCCCACTCACATGAACTGAGCAGGGTCCTGTAAGAAAACTTTTCACAGAAACTAGACAAATGATTGATGGAGGTCACCCATAACAGGTATAGAAACATTTCAAATATTCTTTATTTACCTGAAAGCCATGAAAAAGACTCAGAACTGTGCCTTATTTAAACACTAACTTCTTCTGGTATACCTCAGAATATTACACTTGGTACCTCTTCCCAGGCATTTTCTTCCTTTAGATTTTGGCATCTTGAGTCTGTTCAATATCTTTAATTCCATTCTCTGGCCTTGAAGAAAAATTTACATGTTGGCTTAAGCCACATGGGTCAGCATTCCCAGGCTTATGACATTTGTAATTTTTTGCTCTAAACTAAAATTAGGACATTTCAGAGATACCTTGTTTCTGTCTTATCTCTGAAACTTTTCTTTCATATAGTTTTATCAGCCTAATACCCTTCTTAGATGCAACCCCAAGTATCAAGCAAATAAGCAATACAGAGTAGTAGAGATTTCATTCTCCTTGGTTTTATATGGAAATTGTGTACTCTCTCATCTCAAAAAAACTAAACATTACAACCTAAGAATTTATATTTTACCATTATATTAGACTATTTTAAAGCTATAAGAAATGCAGTGTTAATTATTTTTTGAGCTTTTTGAAAGCTCACTGAAATACAAACTGATGTTACCGTTATGTTATCGCCTCCCCACAGTTTCAAATTCTTTGCTTTCCGTCTTACAGATGTCTTGACTTATTAAAATGTTATTGTGCATGTTATTGTGGTTATTCAACAACTTTTCTAAAAATCCAACATAAGGTGATTTCCAACAGCTGACACAAAATGCTGAAATAAAATACTGACATAATTCAAATACTCTCATTAAACCGTATGAAACAGTATGAAAATCACTTTTTATTAATTTTCAATTAATCATAACATATTAAAATCGAATTTTGAGAGTTAAAAAGAAGAATAATACAAAACCGATGACAAGATCCAATATTGTTCCACAACTCCTTCCAGAGTACTCCACAGAACATAGCAACTTCGCAGCCTTACACTCATGAGATGTATCCATTCTATGGATTTTATCTTTTTCCACTTCTTAGGCCTCCTATGGATATTATCTTTCTTGAACCAAGCATTCATAGTGCCACATGGCTACTCCCACACACATAAGCAGCAGTGCTACTCTAGTCAGACTGCAGTACTCTTCCTCATGTCAGATACTATCTTTCGGCACGAGAGTGCAGAGACACTCCTTTGCCTAACAGTAACCCACGGCCTCATGCCAGACCTGGACTGAAGTTCAAGAAGTAATAAGCCAAGCTTTTTGCAACAAACCTAACTGTAGGCCACGATCCCTTGCCAGACCAGTCCTCCTCTTCCTTGGATTATCCAAGTGCCTTCCACTAGTTAACTAACACTTAATGTGAATGGAATAACAGACAATAAAAAACTCAATCAAAACCCAAATCAGAGCCCAAATTTTCCCTTTTACGTATGTAACAACAAAGAACCTCCCAGCGCATGTAAGAACAGATGTCAATATAAAGTAACCTGCTTAGTAGTCCACTGAATAGAAGCACAGAAAAAGAACTACTTTACTTTTAAAGTCTGAGCTCTAAGTCAGATTGTCAGATGAAAACAGTAGATAGAACCTCAGGTAAGCCAATTACCAGTTTCAAATGTCAGCTCTGCATCACAGTCAGTGTGAGCTTGGCACTGAGTTTCTATACAGTAAGTATGTTATACCAAGAACCTTTGTTGCACAATTAGTCAGCCACAGCATGAATACTGGTGGTTGCTTTTTGGTGCCAGCCAAACTGAACATTAAGCTCCAGCCTAACACTTTATTTTGTTTGCTTTGGTGAGGAGTTTTTTTGGTTTTGGTCTTTTTTTTTGTTATTTTGTTACTGTTCTCGTTGTTGTCTTTTTTCTTTTTTTTTTTTTTAATGCTTCTGATTAGAAATATTTATGATCTCCCTTCATCCAGAACATCCAAGATTTTAATTCACAAACTGTCATGGGTATGACTGAGTAAAAGACAAAGTATGCAATTTTATCATACGTGTTCCTGTACAATCTCTGAGAAAGCCTGGTATACATTCAGATGTGTCTTTTCATTTTACAATTACTTAATTTCAGCATTTAAAGGCTCCTCTAATAGCAGTTCCAAAATTGCACTTTGTTCCAATGCTTATGTAAAAGAGAGTTGTACCAGCTCCACTTCTGGAAACCAATTTAGTCTTCCTTAATGCACTGCGTTGCACCACCATTATCTTCATCTTCTACTACATGTTAGAACGAGTCAGCCAGGGAAATTCCTGGAAGGAAAAGAAAGCCAGAATAAAAAACATATCAGAATGGACAAACAGTAAGAGGAACAGGATACAAAGATGTATTAACTACCAAATGGAATCCACAGGAAATAAAGACTGCTCAAAAACATTTTGTCTCATTTTGTCAGGAATGGAAAGGAACAACCATAAATTCTGGAAACAGTCATTAAAGACACTATGCATTAATAATAGCCAACGGAAAAAAAAATGAAAACAAACTGAAAAACAAACCAAATGCACAGTGTAAAAGCACCCATGCTCCTATCTCCCAAATCGAAAGACAGTCTTCCGGCCTTGCACCTATCTCTGCCTTCTCTGCAGTTTAAGTGATAGTTTCTGAGGATTTCAGAGGCTTTCTCACATGAAGCTTGCAGAAAAAGAAAGGAAAGCATATACATGCCTGTTTCTTTCTCTCAGACCGTGGATCAATCATGACATTTATAAGAGAAGGTGTTTGCTTGTCAGCAACACTTGCTTTCAGAGCATTCTGCAATTCTTCTGGTGTTTTAACAAAGTATCCTTTACCTCCAAAGGCAGACATAATTTCCTCATAGTGTGAATTTGGCAGGAGAGAAACAGGAGGCATACTGTAATGAAATGGAAAACTTCTGATAAATGTCAGGAAAGAATTGCCAGACTGACCAATTTAATTACTTCAGTGCTGATTTTTAAAGTATAAGATGATTATTGTGCTGGCCTGATGAATTTTTCTGGGCTGGAAGAACTATGTTTCCTATACTACTTAAGCTGTGTTTATAGGGTAGCATATTCATTTTAATCTTCTGGAGACATTCCTGAGCAAAGCTTTAGGTTAGTTCTCTTGGTACAGAGAGGTCAGCTTCAGAAGCAGAAGCCCAGTGTAAACTTAGAACACAAGCCTCGGGTAGTTTTAGAGATTATCATGATTTTGGAGGTTAGCCCACTATGAACTCTGTACTGTGTAGCCTGAACTGCTGCAGGAACTTGAGACAACTAATAGTCATCTCTCTGCTGCACTGTTGTGTAAACAATAGCCTGGAATTAGGTTATTTGCTTGCTTTTGGTAACTAGTTCTTACTTATATGAACTTAGCCTAGGACTAAGTTCACTTTATGAAAAATCTCAATCTGGATCACAAAGTATTAAAAGTGAAGAGAATGACCATTTTGGTCACTTCTTCCTTATTTAACAGGACATACTTTGAAGATGCTCACCATGTAGTAGGATCTCCACCCTTCAACATCTCCTTCCAGACACTTGCATCCAAACCAGCGTAAATCCCATTGTTGTTTACTACGATAACCAGGATTGGCAAATTGTATCTACAAAAGATGTATTTGTTAGAACTGTGAAATACTTGAACATTTTTGTAAGGTGTTAAAAGTGTTCTTTTGCCTTAAAAGAAATTTTAAAAAAATATTGCTTCCACGTGAAACATGATCTACTCACCCCTGGCAACACACTATGCCACAACAGCATAAAACCTTGTTTTCATGTGCTTTTAAGAGTACTCCATCTAACAGCAGCGTCCTTGGCCTTCTAGTTAAATTGATCCTGGCAATATATGAAGAGGGTCTTCTTGAGCAAAAAACAGTTACCTGCAAATAGTTTCCAACTCCATCCCCGAAAATCCAAAAGCACTATCTCCTTCTATGCAAATGACTCGCTTTTCAGGTTTTTGGTTTTTAGCTACCATTGCAGCTGCTACAGCAAAACCCAGTCCGACTCCCATTGTTCCAAAAGTACCTGCATCAAGCCTGAAGGAGAGAATACAGAATTACTACCCCTTTATTTCTACTCAGACTTTTAAGTTAATCCATGGTGACTTAAGAATTACTACCCCTTTATTTCTACTCAGATTTTTAAATTAATCCATGGTGACTTTTCTTTGCTTTTAATAATTTGCCACATACTATTCAAATACTGTTTCATAAGCAATTGTTATAAAGAGATACCAGATGTATAGATTATTACATTCAGTCAAGCATTTGATAAGACTGCAAATGTTTTAAGTGATATAAACATACTGGAATTCTAATTAAAAATTAAGAACTCTTGTACTACAATAAAGAACTATTCTTGTATGCTTTTAGCTTGCATAGTAACAATATTTCAAAAACATTCTATTACTGTAAAGATAAGCAGACTACATGACATGTTTCTACATTTAATTCCTTGAAAATATAACTAGAAGCCTGAGAGCCATTGGTTAAATACTGCTGCTCAAATTTTAGTCTTCTGTTGAATTTTCTAAATTAAATTGAAAGCTGTAATTAGGTTAGATCATTTCAGTCAGAAGCACATTACAGATATAAAAGTACATAAAGAACTAGATTATTCTAGGGTTAACTTTTCAAATTTGCTTTCAGATATGCACAATGCAATCTAAAGAGGGCAACCATTAACATTACTGTGCCCTTATTTTAAATAAGGGGGGGGAAAAATGCAAACTCTTCCCCTAACTTCACTGGAAGTATGGGTTGTTTTTGTTGGTTGGTTGGTTTTTTGTTTATAAAGAAGTATTTAGGTTCATTTAGGACTTTAGTGCTACTTTCACAAGAAGGCACAAGCTTCACAGTCACATCAGAAGCTTCACCTCACCAGAGAGAATTCACTTTTTCCAGAAGAAACTCAAGAAACAGCACTTAATTCCTATTTAGATTAAAACTAGACTACACATACTGATTAAAGTCACATACCAACACTTCCAAATTTGAGTGTCTACATTTTAGGCATGCAGGTTTACATGAAAATGTGCCCAATATATAATCCAATTTTCAAAATGAATTGATTCTTCTTCAGTTTTTCCTGTTTTTAAGTGTGTTTCAAAGAAAAAACTCTTCTACATGAGAATCCCAACGATTGTTTTTATTTTAAATCAGTATTTACTACAGACTCTGAGCACAGAAATAAACATCCAGATCAAGGAATTCAACATGATGCTCCTCACTCACTTCCCACAACAGAGGGAGAAACGATCACCATTCTGTTGCAGAGCACACAGAGAAGTCACAGAGAACTGTTAAAATCTATGACAGGACATCAGTATATGAGTAGAAAACTTCCTTAACTCTTCTCCCAACATACTAAACTTTTTTTTTTTTTTTTTGAACATTTAAAAAGGATTAAAAAAATCCGGACCATCATACTTCCAGGATAAATGAAAACATTTATACATAGATCTAGCCTGTTGAATCAGCACAACAAAGAAAATACCACACCTTTGACGGGGGTAGTAATTTGGAAGCATAGTTCGTCCAATGTCCATTGTGTTTGCTCCCTCACTTACTAAGATGCAGTCCTCAGGTATCAGTTCTCTGATGTGATGAAAGACTGTGTAATAATTCATAGGCAGGGATTTCTGTAATGCTAATTCCTTAAAAAGAAGAGATATTAGTAAGTCCTATGGATAGAATTTATAATAAGGTACATAACTGAGGCATTTAAACATTAACGATGGAAATAAAAACACACTCTGCTAGGTAAGGCTAAAGTATTTGGTCTTCCATGCACTACATCAAGGTCACTCCTTTTGTATCTATCCTGGTGACACAATGTATTTCTCAGAGGCTCACTCAGCTCAGCAACCCTTGCATGGTCATCAATAACAGGAAGCTATTAAAACTCAGTTTAACCTGTGAAGTTTTTCTACACATAGAATTGACTACTCATAACCCTAAGGGAGCTGTCATCTGTGTGCTGGGAGGTAGTTCAAAAGAGTCATTTGCCACAATGAATTTATTATACGTCCCAGTCTTGGAAACATGCATCTGAACTTGCAGAATACGAGCTGCATAAAGTTAGGCATACGCCAAGCATCTGTGGTCTTCTGGCCTTAACAGCTACTTGCTTTTAACACAGACTATGCTTCCACCAGCACTGCTAAACAGCTGAACAGCACAATTACAGAAGAAAACTAAGAATGCATCTTCACGTAAGCTAGCTTTCACTTGCAGTACTTGGAGTAGCTTAGAAGTCACTGCCCACAATGCTGCAGCTCTGGCTGTGGTCTTCTACTTTTAAGCTAGCTTTCACTTGCAGTACTTGGAGCATCTTAGAAGTCACTGCCCACAATACTGCAGCTCTGGCTGTGGTCTTCTACTTTAAGAACTCAATCCCAGAGTTCAATGACTTCCACACAGTTTGAATTTATACAAAACCTAGAACACTTAACTTACAGCCTGAAAAGAGTAAGCCTGTACAAGAATGGTATAAATTTTCAAAGCCTGGGTGAAATGACTGTTGGAAAGAATTGAGGAGGTTGGATATAGACCAGAGACAAAACTGACTATGCATCAGTGCCCATTAAGGCGAGAAACCTCCTCTTTTCTTTCATTATAACACTACCTTTGATCTTTCCTCGTTGCTTGTTATTTTCTCTCTTAGCTTCTTCCACCACTCTGAATTAGAAGGATGTTTCAATAATCTTTTGCTGACTTCTTCTAAGAGCTGGAACAACATTGAAATGTTGCAGAGATTTCTTTCAACATATTTTTAAAAAAAATCACAAGCATCAAGAATAATGTTATCAAGAAAGATGCCAGCACAACTACAGTTACACAAATCAGTCTATAACATTTAATTTGGGAATAGACTGGATGCACAGCATGAATATATTGCCTGAAAAATGTTTTTCCTTTAACAGTTTTTTTTTCTTTTTTCTTTTTTTTAAATAGTAACTTACTTCATATAAATCAGAGGAAATTAAAGTCAAAACAGGAGGACACCCGACATTACGTTACCTGCTCAGTCACAGCGTTTATGTCACCTAATAAAACTGCAGCTGGCCTCACATTATTCCCCAGCTCTTCTGCACAAATATCAATCTATATTTCAGAAAGAAGTACCACCATTAACTCAAGGTTACTAAAGAGAATTTTTTTTTCAGTTCAAGTGAAGAACATTGCCTAACAATGTCTTCATACCTTGTTTTGGCTGTACAGATAACTTCCTCTGCCTTACATTGAAATTACATCAGGAAATGCTTTATTCAAAGTAAAATCCTACGGTATATATCCATCTAAAAAAAGTTCATATATACTCTTAAAATTGACTGCTTGCTTCTTTCAAGCTCTTACAGACAGTACAGAACTTTATTAGAAGAAGATGGTTGTGACGTTAGTGATAATTATATGAGAACTAAAAATCTAGACTTATGTATAACCTTAAAGTCTATACAAAGCAGTAATTTTCTTACTGAGAAAAGTTTGTGCATGCTGCTTGGCAGTAAGAAGAAACTGAAAAGCCAAATGCGAACAGTGAAGAAACTTCCCCACTTTCTTTATCAGTTACGTACAAGACCTCTAAGGTTACATGGAATACTAACTTATGATCAGGTCACAGACTATGAGCTGAATTTGTATTCTAATACTAACCCTTGACAGTGAAAAAATTATTTTATGTGAGATGAAAAAATATTAGAAAAAGGAAACATAAAGGATGTATTATTTCATAAGTCAAAAGGAATTCTTGCTTAAAAATTTATGTTATTCCTCTGGAAAAGATGCAAAGTTTGGAAGCTGAGATTATGTCCCAGATCACTGAAGGCAGGCCAGTCAGCACACTGAATCAACTACTACTGTTTGATCACAGACTCTAAGGGAGGAGATTTTAAAGACATAAGCAATTTAATGACTTGTCTTTCTAAGAGCTTGTCAGATTGCCAAATACATTAATTAGTTAAATAGCCTCTTTTCCTCTTAACATTTCTGAGTGACTGAGTTAATGACTTGTCTTTCTAAGAGCTCGTCAGATTGACAAATACATTAATTAGTTAAATAGCCTCTTTTAACATTTCTGTGTGACTGAGCTCTTATAATGACTGACTCTGGATCTGAAAGTAATTCTATTTCAAAAAAATCCAGCTGAGAGAGCAGCCAAAAAGTATGAAAGGTTTCACCATTTCAAGACAATTTGCTTTCAGTCAGAGAAACACCAGTTCTCCGAAGATCACACATGTATCCTGAGTCTAATCCTGTATTAGTCAACTACATAGAAGTGTCTGCCCTCCTCATTACACCAGCACCAAGTCCTTGATAGCTGGAACACTGCTGTAACCATTTTTAGAAAAAATAAGGAAGTAAAAAACCAAAAGAAATCATAACTATTTCTGGAGATCTACCATAACTATATGCACTGTACTGCACTGTCCATAGGGCAGTATTTGCTACATGAAATACACTATCAAAATAACGTACAATAATTGCTTTAGACAATGCTAGAACACAGAGGACTTCAAGTGTTAGTAATTTTCCTTCTTACCTGAATAACTTTTACATCTTGTTGAAACCTTGGTGGAAGACCAAAATGCAAAATCCAATTCAACCTTGCACCAAGCAAGATGATTACATCAGCATGCTGTAATGCCCTAAATAAAGGAGAATAACAGAATCAGATAACGAGGAATTATAATTAAATGTAATAGTGTTTTCAAAATTAAAAGTAATCCTAACCACCACAGCAAACCCCAGAATATACATATAATACTTCCTTTCTCTATGCTGGTTGCTTAGCCCCAAAACCCTGTATCCTTTTACATATGCAACCATCAAGCCATCCTTGAGCTTAGGAACTCAAGAAGAAAATGAATTACTATTTGCCTAATTCATTGTGTTTGGGAAAGGAAGCGTTACACTAGGAGACTAATAAGATGTTATAACAATGCTGAGGTTAAAGCAAAAGACCCACTACTGTGATACTGGCAACAGTGGATGCCAAAATTAAGATTGGTGTGGACCTCTCAGTTTAGACTCCCGTTAACTTACCTTTCAGCTAGGTAGACAATATTTGGCATATTCTATTATTCTACACTTTTCTTAACAGCATGCTTAACAGAGATAAAGCTAAGATGCTCAACAATGGACAATATTTTAACCTCAAAGTATATAAATGCTCCATCTGCAAGGTGACTCCATGCATATTCACACCTAACAGGGTTCTTACAGTTCATTCACGAGTTTTATCAAAAGCCAAAAGGATCTCTTATAAACTACTTTAAACATAGTCCTTTGGTGTAGTTTGAAACACCTCATTTTTCTTTTTAAATAAGCTGCAATTTATTGATGGTGTATTGCAAACACCATGCAGAGACAGCAGATATCAAAACTTCAACTGCAATATATGCACCTTAAGCTTCTGCTTATAGCATTAAAATAAAAAGCTAGTAGTTTGTCTACTGCACTAAGTTACATGTTTAATATAAACTCTTTACCAGTTTCATTTTATGTTATGAAATATGTACCAACAGCATTGATACATCTAGTTGCCATAGGTTTCACAGTCACAGAATATTAGCTCTCAGATAAGTATCTTCCTCACCAGCATTCTAAGCATTGTCAAAAGTGATCCACCTAAATCTGTTGTCTCTTTCCAAGCAAGATCTTCAATGCTCTCAAATGAGGTGCAAAATGCAGTTGAAAAATTTTTGTTGAAAGCATTTTCTCCTCCCTGGCATCTATAGACCACAACAATTCCTAGTTGTTTCTCAGGTGTTAGGATTAGAAGCCTTGCTTTATACTTACTATACTTACGTTGATCTTGCTGCAGCTACACAGTTTGGATGGTTATCAGGAACTACTCCTTTTCCCATTGGAGTAGGCAAAAAAGGCAGTCCAGAAAGGTCCACCAACTTCCTGATGCTGTTTTCAGCACGTGAATAAGCAGCACCTAAATGAAATGAAATGAGATTGTTTAATACTACAGAAACCTACTGTACTCACCTGAATTTCAATTAACCTGCTTACATTAGTGGCAGAAAGAGTACTATTTCCCATTAATAAAGCTGTCTGTTATTTTTCATTCTGGAGAATTCAAAATATAAAATGACAAACTACAGGTATTTGTGTTCAAGTTTCCCATATTTTTCACAAAAGCTTTTTTTTTTTTTTTTTTTTAAAGACTTCAGCTGAACTTGTTAGCTATTTCTGTGAAGCAGGGAAGTGAAAAATATAGATTTTTTTTTTTCTTCCTAAAAGGACAATTCTGGGTGGGTGAATTTCTGTATTACGGGGCAGAGACTTCTGCAGCAGCAACAGGAGGTGACCTTTGTGTTGTGTCATGTCATTTTTCCTTGCACCCTGCATGCTGTTGTATTACGTGCTCCATAACAATCTGCCCGACACAGGTCTTTAATGAAAAAAAGGAAAGCTCAAAAAAAAGAGAAGCTCGAAAAAGACGCTGTGAATATATGTGTTTGTGCATACATTTACTGTGATGCTACCTTCAATACAAGGCTGCTGAATCAAGGATGTCCAGGCAATCTAGAATAACTGACTGGTCCCTGTGCAATGACTTAAGTCTATGAGTTTTAAACCCTGAAGAATAAACTTCCTTATTTCTTCCAAAAATTCTGTTAACAACAATATATAGCAGAATCTGCTAGGCAGATGTGAAGAAAACACAATACCTCTCAGTTGTTGACATCAACAAAACACATAACTACATACTTTTGAGTTTTCTACCTTTCATGTTCAAAGAACACCCTTTGTTCATGTGTATCAAACCAGAGAGAGCGGAAAAAACCCTCTCCTGATCTACTTTCTGTCTACGATTTCATTACCTAATCAATTACGAGGTCCACCTCATCTCAATCACTTCTCAATCATTCCCTGGCTAAACACAGAACCTCTCTCCCAAGATACAGATTGTTCCCAGGTCTGCAGGAAAACAGTCTGGGTGAAACAATTTGGTTATTTCAATTCTGTTCCTAGCAGACCTGCATCTTCAAAAGAAACACCACTGCAGTGACTGACATTCACAAGGAGGGACAAAATAAGTGCACCAGGACAGAGAATAATTATTCTCTATATCTAGGGACACCTCTATTTTAGAAATAGAACACTTCACTGTCAGAGTACAAGGGAAAGTCTGTAAAACAGCAGTAACAGCAACACCTGCAGTGTTGCTTCATGTCCCCACACAGGTAAGCTGGCACTTTCATTAAGTCCATACGGAAAAATGACCTTTGGTTACTTTGATTCTTGCTATATATGCCAGAGCATCAGAGAGAGAATATAACTTCTGTATTCTGACAAAATTTGTTTGAAATTTTCAAAGTGATATCTTGATATTGGCTCTCTGCTTAAGACAATGTTTATATTATTCTTTTCTATTTAAACCTGTATTTTATCAATTGACTTTTCTCTTAACCTAGATGAAAAAGACAACAGTTACACAAAAGAATATTCTAAAAAGCGAGCAGATTTTAACATGAAATTTCGAAGAAGTTTGTTTGGGTTTTTTGTTTTGGTTTTGTTTGGTTGTTTGTTTTGGTTTTGTTTGGTTGTTTGTTTTAATAGAGCATGAAAGAGAGATGACTAATACTTATGGGGAAAAGAAAAACACATTAGTAGTTGTTCTTGTCCCAGACTTGTACAGTTCAAAGCTACATCAAAGCATGCTACCTTTGCCAATGATTAGCAGAGGCTGCTTGGAATGAGCAATGATAGATACTGCTTTAGATACAGCATAGGGTTCAGCCGTGCTAATGGGACGTGTCAGGCAGCATTCTGTGTATCTGGAAGTCAAGCAAAACAAAAGAACTCTTTAAAAAATTCAAAACAAGAAATGTTGAAAGATAAAGCCTGTAGTTTAGCGTAAAACTGCAGTTGCTGCATACCATGTGACAGCATTTCTCAGAACAGGATATATTTTTTTAAAACAGGCTTTGAAGTTCCTTTAATCTTACAGGTAGTGTTGTTCCAGAGATTTACAAAGTGGCATCATTATATTACCATCATATTAATTTACTCGTTTTTGCACATCTCATTACAAATTATAACCTATATGACATGTTGTGATGCAATGTTACATTTTGAGGATAGATTTTTAGTAGCATTTCAGCCTTGTGGCAAATTATTTAATCTCTTACTCTTTTTTATCTTTTTTTTTTTTAAGAAAATAAAATCTAAAAGTAACTTAAAATTAAAATTTCTTTTATTCAGTGATTTCAAAAACAATGAATATAATCTTCACGCACTTGACAGAGCTCTTATTCACTTGAAGATTTACAAAATCCCCAGGTATGTCAATATAGCAGGAACCTGGACGACCATATATGCTGGTTCTTACAGCCTAGAAAACAGAAAATCATAGTTTTAACCACTGTTAGAAAGGATTTAAAAAAATCTTTATATGTAAAACCCAAGAAAATCCTAGAGTAGGCAGAGAAGGAACATACCATTTCATATTGCTGAACCATGTCAAGGAAGGCTCCCATGGATTGATTTATACCAATAAATGTAAGTTTTAACAGCTATTTACATTTTCCCCTATATGCCATCTGAAGCCTTTCAGTAGATGCACAGTATTGGGCTTTGTTACATTTACAGAGAGACAACTGCATTATCAGCTATTGCATTTGGAAATACTAAATTAAACTTTCATGCTGAATTCTATATAAGGTAGCACAAATAGAGAAAAAACAAGTCAACCAATGACTCCATTTTCCATTACTTCTGGTTCCTGTTCTATTACAGGTAGATGTTCTGCTGAATTTGCATTTCTGGAAACAGTATCATTGCATGCAGAATTTAGGCTGACATGGCTAAAGTGTAGCAGTAGTACAAGACTTTTGTAACCGTTTCTGAAAGTTGAGATAAGGACGTGTTTTCTCTTGCTCTCTCAAAAAATCCACCAAACCAACAACTAACCCCCAAACACAACTATCTCCATCCTCACATCTCCAAATCTTCCCAGAATGAGAATTGTAAAAGAGCTGAGGTTCGTGGTGTTGCATTTCTACTTCTCGCGCCTCTCCCTAAAGGCATTTCTTTCACAAAAATCTTTCCAGCTCTGACTGAAGCTAACAGAAAATGCTGCAGGGATCAGTAAGCATCAGATTGGATCAGAATCTATTTTTAGCCTGCTCCATAGCACAGTTCATTGGAAAAACCTACCTGCTCATCAATTTACTCAATCAACCATCACCTACCAGTTGTGGGATCAAACTATTTACAATAACAGCTATACAAACATACAAATCCTCAAAACTCATGCAGTAGGATGCAGTAGGACAGTTACTTGTTGTTCTGTTGCTAATTTAGTATTTTTGCATACCTTTTTTTTAGGAATAACTTCTAGGCTGCTTGGGCGTACAGAGAGTTTGTTGTACAGCCTACCAGCTTCAACCTGAATAAACGCATATAACAATTATATTGATTTATCAAAGTGGGTTGCTAATTTCCATCTCATTTCAACACTAACAAAATGAAAAAAATGCCAAATGGAAAGCCACAAGTTGAAAACTCCCACAAATTAAAAAGCAGTTTCTCAACTGGTGGAAACTATCAAAGCCATACTCATTCTACTGACCGCTTAAGTATTTTTTTTTTTTTAAGTGGTGCTTCTTTCTTAGAAAGCTTATTTTGCTTTCTTCCATCTCAGAACAGATAGAGAAGTCCAGTTTATAGCAGCTGAGAACCTAAAACAGAACACGAATTCTAACACGACTGTGGACGAAGACATTCCAACCTGCTGTTATTTACACAGTGTCAATCTTAAGCCAGCAGATGGAGCAAATCAACAGCATGATAACATCTGACAGGCAATGTCCATTGTTATTCTTACACTAATGAAGAAATAACACCAACTATGTAACTGAAATATTTTTGTACGAAGTTGTATGTTTGTGTACCTGTGGAAATTCTTGGAAAGCGCCCATGGTTTCCTGATTTCTGTCAGAAGAGCCTCCAATAACAATCAAAGGCCTAGAAAAGTATATAAAAAACAAAACAAAAAACCCCAACCTTAAGCATACACATATTTTTTATAACCGCAATCAAGCTCTCCTGATGGTCAAATCCTACTGCTCTTGGGATGTTGTGCACCTTCAGCACCCACAGATCTCAACAGAAATAGAAAGTGACCAGCACAATACAGGAGTGGATTCTAAATATTAGCATGTCAGCTGGTAGACTCCCTAGCAGCTTTGGGTGACTAGTTTTAGGACAGTCTGGCTGTATTAAGTGATCCACATCCAGCATAAAATTCTAAAACCAAGTCATATTGCTAGCAATTTTCATTAAAGTTTGATAACATCGGTGGCAAGGTGGTTTGAGAGGAATGGCAACAGCTAAAAAGCAAAAAGGTATTGTTTGATCTAAAAAGTATAAAGATGTTTGTTCATAAGAGGCATTGTCATGTGCACAAATTTAGGGTTTCTGAATGCTTACTTATCTCCTTTTGGCACATGGCAGGCAAAAGGCAAGCCTGATGTGACCAATGGAAAAAAATCATTGGCCAAACACTGCAGTTTGGTCAGTGAAAACCAGTCTACTTACTATATTGTCAAACATTCTGCCAAATTAGATAAGTCTTCCCCTTCACCTTTTGCCAACAGTATGGGTTTATGCAAGATCAAGTCAGGTAAACAGAGTTTATCTCTGCCAAAACTCAGTTTGTGAGAAAATAGAAATGTCTCCTGCAAATCCATAAGGAAGTGCCATGAATGCTTCTTTCTTATAACCAAATTCATGACTGTCCAAAAGCAAGGTTTTCATATGATCTTTTTTCTTTAATATAAAGTCACACAGGGACAGCCATGAATGCTTCTTTCTTATAACCAAATTCATGACTGTCCAAAAGCAAGGTTTTCATATGATCTTTTTCTTTAATCTAAAGTCACATAGGGACAGCAAAACTTTAGTCCCTAACTCACTTTTTTTAAAATAATTTGAACACTAGAGATTTTTTTTCAAAGTGTCAGAGACTTGATTTGTTAGTGTTCCTATTATCAAGCTTCCCTTGTCCGTCAGCCACTGTTAATCTAATGCTCCAGATCATGTGAGCTTAGTACTACCAGAGCTTCCACCCAAAGTACCTCATATAGCTTTCCGAACAGCTTTCAGTGGCAGACCAGCTAAAGCTGACATGTCTCAGTGAAGGCTTGTGGGAGTAAATGTCATCACTCTGTACATGATTCAATTCAATACTTAATTACTGCTCTAAATGTCTGCAGGGGGAGCAGATATGGATTTTAACAATGCAGTTGTCAACTTTTTCACATATGAAATACAGCAATTCAAAGGCAACATGGCTTTAAAATTAGAAAAAACCTCTAAGTCTCTCTACGATCAATAAAGTATTACAGGCTGAATATTGACTTAATTTTCAAATGTATCCATACAATCAGGTATACTGATAGATTTTCCAATATATGCATAACGAGGTAGGTAGGACAAAAAGGAGAATTTTATCCATGAGAATACAAAAAATGGAACTGAATTACTTTTAGGATTGATAAATGAAGAATTCCCTTCTCATTACCCACAAGAAAGAATAAAAAAGTCCTATACTAAATACTGTGCAGCAAAACATCTGCAACATATAACAGCAAACAATTATTAGAATTTTAAAGGGAAAAACTAGTTAAATTACCAGCAGTTTATGGTTGCATTTGCCATCCCACCAAGGGCATGTAAAAAACCTGGACCGGACACTACAAGACATACTGCTGGTCTAGAGAAAAGCAAACAAAAAAAGAGGAGACAGAAAAGGAAAGTGAGCACAGGGAACATCACATAAATCACCACCAATAACAAAAAAATCAGTAAGATGCTAAAACAAAATATTAAAAGTTTTACTCATGACATGAAAATGGATGAACAGCAAGGGATTTGTATGATGGACTAAAGATAGACATGGGAATCAGAAATCATGTATCAACCCAACTGAAAAAGCAAGTGAACAGTTGTGACGTGCCACCCACACAGAGGGCTGCAACATATGCAGGCTCATCATAACACAGCTCCTTACTTCTTTTATTGCATTTACTTCATCATCTAGCATTTACATAGAATTTGGTAAGCCACTTATGTCTGCAGTTTTCTCAGCTCCACTTTAGCACCAGATATCAATGAAGAAAGCTCACAAAGGAGGAAGTGCATCTGATTCAACACAAATTTCATTATAGTTTCATTCAGGCAGAGGCACTTTTTAGTCCAGGTGATGAGATAAAAATGACAATTCTTAACTCCTGAGCATTCTTTAGCAACTTTACAGACTCTTTACATATCAGAAAAAAAAAAATCACCTTACTTCCAGAGGATTATTCAGAGGAAGAAAAACTACAGAAGTGTAACAGAAGTGTCATGCCTGCAGACAGAATAAGGAATGATCACCTGCATCATCAGGCTTGCAATTGTGAGCATGCAGACACCAAAAGTTTACTTTAGAAAAGGATACCTGGGATACCCGAGAAGCACACCTCACAAGTCATAGGCCAGAGAATGCTTCTCAACAACATTAAGAGCAAAACGCAGAAGCAGGAAAAGCCAGTATTTTGTGTCTGAAGAAGCACAGGAGAGACTGGAAGGTATATGATCAGCCTCTGTATTGGGAAGGTATTTGTTGAATAATACGACCAGATGATGAGATTAAAGTATAGTGGGTCCAACAAGTTGCAACAAATAATGGTGGCGTGATTTCTGCCCCTCATACCAATGGTGTTAAAACTACTATTCAGAAATTAAAAGAGAAAAAAAAAAGGAAGTTATAAAATGGACAGTATTATATGATCTTAAGCACCTCCTTGTTCCTGTACTGTGAATCATAGCAACAGAAACACTGATAACCATTACTGACAGTTATTTCAGTATTCATGTTCCATTTTAACTGCCCTACATCTACATACACTAAAAACACACAGCTCCAAAACAAAAAACATTCCTAGCTTCTAACTGTTGAGTTTAATACAGTTGATACTATATTATTATAAATATTAATAAATACGGAATGTCCCTGCCAGTCAAATATCCAACAGCAGATGCAGCATAACAGGCCTATTGGAAATATTGGAGTTAATAATACAGTTATTATTATACACACATTTCATG